CCGGGCTTCTTAGTGATTTCCAAAGCCACCGCAGATTTTCAAATAACTTAAGTTTCTATTCCGCTACTTCAAAAATCCAACCAGACTTTATGCTTTTCTGACAAAGAATATTCCGAAACTCTCTTTTTAGCATTTTCACAGGTTTTTACTTAAGAATTAAATGATGGTTATCTACCTGCTGTTAACTGTAATCGTGTCGGCGCATCCTTACAGCAAGTTGAATTCACAGTGGATCATGTCAAACAACACTTAATTAAACTTTGCACGGCCGCTTCACCTGGTTTAGATGGTTTAACGCCAAAACTGTTAAAAAGGTGCGCAGACACGCTTGCAATACCCTTAACGGTTATTATGCAAACCTCTTTCATCCAAAACTCCTTACCCCTTAGTTGGAAATTAGCTTCCGTTACCCCTATTTTTAAAAAAGTCAACAAACTCGACCCCAACAATTCGATTAGCTTGCTGCCAGTAGTTGCCAAAGTTATGGAAGCCATTATTTCCGAGGAGATGACCAAATTCCTTCTCCAGTAACATGTTATTGCAACACAACATGGATTTGTCTCTGGTCGCTCTACTCTAACCAATCTCCTACATTGTGTTAACGACTGGACCTCATCCCTTAACAGTTCTCAGCCTGTCGACGTTGTTTATCTAGATTTTTCTAAAGCCTTTGACCCTGTACCTAAGCGCAGACTTCTACATAAGCTAGAACATTTAGGAGTTCGCGGTACTTTACTTCGTTGGATAGATGATTTCCTGACAGATCGATATTACAAAGTTAGAGTTGGCGAATCTTGGTCTTCCCAGTGGTTACTACCCTTAAACGCGGAAAAATGTGTAGTGCTTCGAATTAGCAAAAATAACCCACTTGTACCGTACTTTGTTAACGGGCAGCCATTAGAATCTGTGTTTTCGTATAACGATCTTGGTGTTATTGTGAACAGCAGCCTAACTTGGTCCGACCATATTACCTCTATTTGTAAACGTGCAAACTCCAGACTGTATCTTATTCGGAGGTGTTTTTCGAGAGTTTCAATGCAATCATTTTGCAAACTTTACACTCTGTACGTAAGACCCATACTTGAATACGCTGGACCAACGTGGTATCCCGATCTGGTTCGAGACAAGACTCTGTTGGACAACGTTCAAAGAAAAGCCACTCGAATTTCTTTGGGACCGAGAAGACCGTCTTATGCAGAAAGACTTAGTATGGCTAACCTAACTACTTTTGAACTTCGCCGACAACTTGGAGACTTAATTACAACATTCAAAATACTAAAATTCAATTTTGGAAATCTCGATGAAATATTTATCATAAATCAAGATGAACGCCTCAGAGGTCATCAATATAAACTAAAGAAAGAAAATTTTTCTATAAGACAAAGACAGAACTTTCTTCCAAATAGAGTTTTTGAGTGCTGGAATAACCTCACCGATAACATTGTCCCCGCTTCCTCTACCAACTCGTTCAAAAACAGACTTGACAGTTTTATATTATAGTTAAAATATTGTCTTTCTTTTAAACCAAAAATTGTAATTTTATTTCTTTTATTTGTAATTTTTGTTATTTACTAGTAGGTGATTAATGAAATTTCTTTGTTTTTGGGCATAATAGGGACTTAGTTCTTCTGCCCTCGCTTATATAATAATAATAATAATAATAACCACAACATGGTCGATTTGGTTTCTCTCATCTCTCATATACGTTTTAGAAATCTTCAAAAACTTGTATATGATCTTTTCAGTTATTTTTTCTTTACTGGTCGACATTGTTTGCAGGTATGAAACAGTTTTGGTTTTTTTTTTCAAAAAAATAAAACAAATAAATACTTTATTGTTTTAATTAGTGTATACTCAAAAGCAATTATAAAAATCTGTAACAAAACACTTAAATTGTATAAACTATAAAAACTGTTATTAACTATAGTGGAAATCACAAAACGTTAAAAATTAAAGAAAAAGGTCGCTTGAATAGTAGTGAATCCTTCAGCAGGTTAGCAAGTGAATCTGACGTAGATGGATCTATGATCTATGACATACTAAGATTAAAACTAACAACAAAGGATAAATGTATCACTGCGATGTTTTTTCAACTGCACTGCACTGATTCAACCAATGGAACAGCACATTATTCAGTTTGTCAAGCAAGATTACAATAAAAACCTGCTTCTGAGAATTGTATCAAAGGAAGTCTATAGAAAAAAAATGTTAAAAGAACAAAACATAAAGATTTGATGATGATGATTAATCTTTATGTTAAATTTTCAAATTATGACTAATTTATTTATAAAATATATAATCTTTTTATGTAAAACTAAATTATATAATATGTAAAAAAAATAAAATATTTGAAAGAAAATTTTGCCGTGGCATACTTCTCGATTGAAATGAGTTGGTCAGACTTTTTTTGTAAGTAAATACTTCATGGCATGGTTAAAAAAATCATCAATAATAAGTACATAATATTTAGCATGTTTCTGTGTGTGATCAGTGCATTTTAGTGTTAAAGAAGGTACTAAATTGTAATTGTGATAAATTGATGATAGGTACAATAGTTCTTTCTCCCTAAACACACGGTATCATTGATGATACCTTGGGTCCTAAATGGTAGTGTATTTTAAAATATTTTTTTTTTGTTTTTAGGGCCGCTGACTGCGACTGAACTTCAGGAAATCGCAGATAATGTGGATTTAGATGACTCTAATTTGGATCTTTCTCTTTTTCCTGACAGTGATGATGATGGGGATGAACCAAGAAATCTGGATGAGAATGGAATAATTATTGAAAGTAAGAAAGAAAGGAGTGACGATCACGCTGAAATCAGTGACATATCAGACGACGTTTCGGATGATGAAAGACAGAAAAGAATGTAATTTTACACTACAATTTGCCCAATATCAACCCTCTGTGCAAGATCCCTTGAATCCCGAAAATATTCGAAGACCCATTAACTACTTCAATAAATACATTGACAACAATTTTTTGAATCCATGGCATTGTACACCAATATGAAGGAAGTAAAGAAAACTGGAAAATCTTTGGAGACTTCTGCAAAACAATTAAAAACGTTTTATTAAATTGGTATTTATAATTTACCACGAATCCGAAAGTTTTGGCAAATGGATACCAGGGTACCAATACTTTCAGACAACATGTCAAGAAATCGTTATTTTGCCATTCAAACACGACTCGATTCTGTAACCAAGAAGACTAAAGACAATGTTATATATTCTGAAAAGTAAGACCATTGTTGGATCAAATTCAAAGGGCTTGTCTGAATAATGAAAGAACTGAAAAAGTGTCAATCGATGAGCAAATGATTCCCTTTCATGGAAAAGTATTAATGAGACAGTTTGTGCGAGGAAAACCTAACCCTGTAGGATTGAAGAATTTTGTCATGGCGACTACGGGGGGATTCCACTTTTATTTATTGAATTATTTAATATTGTATTAGTAAAGAATAATAATTCTTTTAATTATTGAATTCACTTTATTCCAGATTTATTGAATCCAGCTTGGTACTTACACCTTACACCAGAACGGCTGGATATCGGGGAAGGGAAGGGTTGGTTTAAAACTTACAGATACTCTGCGGTAGGAGTATCTATTTTGTTGACATATATTTTACGTCAAAAATATTGATTGATGCATTACATTCACGGAAACTTTATGTAACAGGAATACTAATGAAAAATAGAATACCAAAAACTGATGTGACATTTAAGACAGATAAAGATCTAAGAAAATCAGGTAGATGCTCCCACGATATGCTCGTTAACAAAGACAACAAAATAGCTGTTATAAAATGGTTTGCTTCCAAACCGATCTATGTGGCTTCATCGGCATTTGGAGCTGAACTCTTGGGATTGTGTAGGCGCTGGTCAGTAAAAGATAAAAAATACAGAGAAATAAATCGTCCAGCAGTGATTAAGCACTACAATGAAAGCGTGGGTGCAGTAAATTTGCTGGATAGGATTAAGTCAAAGTACCTATGAGCAGTAGAACAAATAAATGAACAATACGATGTATTTACGCCTTTATTGATTTTTGTGCTGCAGCTAGTTAGCTACAATACAAGAAAGATTGTTTAGCTGTAGAAACTCCCAAAAAAACATATTCAAGATTACTGTCATTTAAGTTTTCGCTTGCTAGGTCGCTCTTGTACTCCAAGAACAGAAGTGAAACCACATCCGACTAAAGTGATGAACAAAATGAAAATGTAACCAGAAAAAGAAGAAAGACTGCACCAATCCCTGATAAACACCTACAGTCAAAGGAAGCTAAACACCTCCCAGAATTCGTCAATGAAAGCCAAAAATCAAGATCAAAATGCAGGTATCCTGGATGCCACAACCTGACGTTTGTCAAATGTGCCTGGTGCAAGGTTTTTTTTATGTTGTAGTGTCAATAGAAATTGTTTTACTAAATTTCATCAATAAAAATGATAAGTGAATATTAATTTTTTTTTGTCAGTCCAGACCCAAAGTATCACTAGTAATACTACAATTTTTGAAAAAACCAATTTTGGTAAACAATTTTTTTATGATTAGTAATCACAAATTGAAACATTCTTTTGATTGCCAACAAAAAAATCACTGCAATTCATGTTTGGGCCCAAGGAAGTTAAAAGTGCAACAAATTTTCTGTTCCTCAGTGTTAACCATATGATAGACAATCACAAATATGAACACAAATACACAATAAATATATTAATAACTACCCATAACATTTATTTAAGTAGAGATGATATTAAAAATGTTCAAAAATTGAAAAGTTACAACAAAACAACAAAAAACAAATGTGAAAACCTCAAAACTCTCAACTGAATACAGTATTACATATACTTATGTGTGACAAGGAGTTAAAACAAGGTTTATTTCTGTGACAACTTATTTTTAGTTTATTGAAAACATTGCACTGATTCATACAGGTTCTTAAAACTTAGTATCATACAGCATTCCACAATATAAGGTGATTGTTACACTAAATAACAATTGTAATTATTTCTCTACTTTTGAAAAAGGAGATAAACTATTTTTAAACTCCTCAATATCTTCAATAAAGTATCCAGTAGGTTTCCCTTCTGGTAAATTTTTATTATCACCGAGTATTTTCAGTGCTGTATCTTTAAGGCCACTTCCATCTGTAACTGCCTCTTCAGTAGAGGTAGCTTGGTTATCTTGAACATGCCCAGCTATTTGAAAACTAATCTTCCGGAAGTTTTCTTGGCTACCAAAGTGATTGTGTTTACTCCACCATGTCTTAACATCCTCCAATGATATAGTCTTAATGCATTTTACCTCTTGTTTTGCCCTATCAAACATATATTCATCATCAGTAATCTCCTGCCAATTCCTATTTACTTCTTCTGCTAAATTATGGTCGCAGACTTGTTTTGTTTTAATCAAATCCTCTTTAATCTTGTCTAAACCTTCAACAGTCGTATCATCCACTAGTTTTTGAGATTGTCTCAAAAATGCCTCAATTCTGGAATCTAAATATTGTGTAGTATACTTATTAGCCTGAGAGTTAACACGTAAAGAGTAAACTAAGACACCATGCAATCTGCGTCCATAAGCAGATACATCATATCCTAGCTGTTCAGTTGTACGGAGAGTGTTAAAACATGGTTCATCAATTATTCTCATAACTATATCCATAAGAACCATATCTTTTAGGGAAAATATCCCTACTTGGTATACATTTGAAGTAATACAGTTCGCATCTTTCTTATTAAGTGATTCCACAAACAGACACTTTTCCCCCAGGGGTATCTGTGGTACAGACAATCTAGGATATTTTTCTTTTGGTATTTCTTCAAAATCCAAACTTTTAACAAGCTTGTTAATGGTCTCACATGCTACATCTGCTGAAACATTTCCCTGAACAAGCGATTTAACATAAAGATTTTTGGGAAAAAGTTTTATAAATTCTAAAATATCATCAAAAGTAAGATTATAAAGTTCCCTGTACGTATCTATAGGTGAAAAATAATTTTTAATCAAAAGTTTGCTTTCAAGTTCACGCCCTAAAGAAGAAGTTCTGAAAAGCTGGTTGTAATATTTTTTTAAAGCCTTCTCTTTGAGCCCATTAAATATATCTTGATTTATATGATCAGACAAATTTAATATATACCTTGTCATCAATTCCAATAACAATGGCAACTTTTCATTATACCCCTCTATTTGAAAGGCAACTCCCCTGTCCTCAGCTATAAAATATGCAGACAAACTGGCAACAGTTGCAGGATAAGCTTCTTCACATTTAGCAAATGATAATAACTCAACAAACAAATCAGTCAAGACAAAATTTTTTGGTGATTGTATGGTAAGAGGATTTAAAAGGTAGATATTAAAATGAGCTGTTGGTAGCTTAAACTTTTGATCTTGTCGGTACCATAATTCACATTTGTCTGTGTGTATTAATTTTTGTGGATAATCAGGGTGATTGGAGGTGCAAGGAAGTAAATCAAAATTGCTGGTTAAATAAGGGTTAGGAGGGGGGAGACTGAGTTCAGTATATGGCACTACAGACTCCCATTTACTTAATAGTTCCTCAGAAATCTGTATATCTGTGTATTCAGCTTGTAGCCATTTTTCTTTTTTGTCGAATTGTAAACCATCCGGCAATACTTTTGTAGTCACAGCAATAAGTAAATTCTTGGGTATCAATTTGTTAAGTACATCAGTTATTTTATCTGGATTGTATTCTTTGTATAGTTGACTAGCTGAAATTACATCTTCAGGAGGATATATATGTAAATTAGTTGCAAGTGTAGATGTATTATAACTAGCTGGATATTGAGTTTCAAACCTAAAATCTGTATCAGCAACTATTTTCATTTCTTCAAACTTTTGTTTTTGTGGACCTACTCTTTTTATAAGATTAATATAAGCAAAAACTACTTCAATAACATCAAAGACATGTTTTAAACCTTCTTCTGTTAATACTACATTTAAAGTCAAAAAGCTAAAAATAGAATTATTGTCAAATTCAGAAAATGCTTCCAATGACAAAGCCCACATATGCTTCTTCAAATAGGACAAAATACTACCTTTACCTTCATCCCCCAACAAATGTGATAAATACTTGACAGCTTTGCTTTTATATTCATACTTTTGTGAAGGTAAAGCCCACACAAGATCCAGTTGAATTATCTCTGTCAATGGTTTAATGTAGTAGATTTTATTAAATGCCGGTGTATCAAAAACATCAACACTGTCATTAAAATTAGGTTTAGGTAAATTATTATTTGGTATACCTGAGAAAAACTCCTTGACATAAGCTTCTAATGTATCTAATGGAAGTCTTGCTTGTATAGCTAAAGTCATGTTATGTGAAGAATAGTACCTCTTTCTATGTTCATGAAGACATTTATACAGCTCAGCATCACATATATTGTCTTTTAAAGTTTTTAAGTTGCCCCATGGAAAGCTTACATGTACAGGTGTGCCTGTTTTAGCTGTCCTCATTAACAGCTGCCCCTTCCTCCATTCATCATTAGGTAATGCCATTTGAAATTCTGAGTCCACAGCTTCTCTTTCCCTAGTTAATGCATCTTCTTTTAATAAAGGAGCTATAAAAAACTGCGACCACTTATCCAAAGCTTCAGGCAGATGTTTTTCAAGGCACTCAAAGTAAAATGATGTCTCTTCATAATCTGTCCAGGCATTAGTACTACCACCCCCTTTTCTAATAAAGGAATCAAAATCATTTTCTGCCGGAAATTTTTCACTGCCCATAAAAACCATATGTTCCAGAAAATGCGAAAGTCCTAAGATTTCTACAGGATCACATAAACATCCAGCCCCTATTTGCAATGTGGCAGCTGCCATTTTTTCTTCATTCTCAGTTTCTGCTTGATTAATTTCATTTGAATCGTTTGTTTCTGTTAGATTTTGTACATCAGATATAAGTACTGCAACTAACCCATTTTTCAGTTTTATAATTTTGTATTCTTTTTTATCACTTTCACTTTTTATAGGAGTTTTTAAAACCTCAATTATATGGTCTTCCATTTTCAACACCTTGACCTTGTTTAACCCACTCAATAATCATGAAAAAACGCACTCCCTGTTTTTAATAAATTCACTAGAAAAAAGGAGAAACCTTGTTTTGAATGAGTGAACAATACATTTAAATATCTACTGACGTGCGAATATAAATAGACCGCCTTTAAAATTCGTTATAGACAAATAAAAGGATATCGAAGCATTGTTTGGATGATTGTAGCGCCAACTCCTGACGTTAATTGTTTTGGGTGCATTTTTTGAGTTTTGAATATTTTTGCAACTATTTAACAAAACAGAATTTTTTATACTGTGCCCACAGTATTCACCACCAATAGTAGTGTAAGTGGAATAAGAAAGGTGGCAGAGTGAATTGCATGGCCCAGCCGTTCGTAATGTCAACGGCGCTACTAGTCACGTTAGGTCCAGTTTTTTTGTACCCTTTGCCTCATAAAAAACTGGTACAACTCTAAAACTGCGTTTGCAATAGGTTTCTTTTGGACCCGTCCTGTATTTGTTAAAGTATCCGGTAAAGGATCCCTTATTTGACGGCTGCAAATAACTAGTGTCTAGAGCCTGATCCACTATTCTGTGCAGACGTGCGCAGTTCATTTGTATCCATATCTGAATGTGACAATGAGGTTTATGTGTATCGTTGGTTGCATACGAATAACTCTAAAATTAATAGTAAATAATACCAAATCAAAATTAAAGGTTTTTTAAAATAGTTTTAAAAAGTATTTAAAAAAAAATACTTTTTGCGCATTTTTTCCAATAAAAATTTGTTATTTTATATACAGAATGTCGACTGATGTTATATATCAATTACTATGATACCAACTTTCTTATTTTAAATGAAACATTGGTTAGGTATATTATAATTTTTTTGGATTATGCACAAAATTCCCAGAACTTTGATACTTATATTGCATGTTATAGTTTTAATTAACTTATTTTAGGATACAGGGTGGTTAATGAATAGATCACTCTCTGCGTGTCTCCTTTTGACTTTAAAAAGTTCTATACCTAATTTCAATAAAGAAGAGTGAGTTCAGTTTCGTACTTCAACTTGTTTTTAATAATGTATATAGTACTCCAAGATATGTACCTATATTCTTTTAAAATAGATATTATGTCAAAGAAATGAAACCTGCCTATATTTTACCAGGTGTGAAATGGAATGTACATAAGTAGGTATCTTAAAGGCTATACAGGGTGGTGAATCGTCAAACGGTCCATAGGAAACTCAATGGGAAATTCTAAATTGTTGAATTCCTGCTTCCCTAATTATTTTACACCCAAAGTCATGGGAAACTATTTGTAGAGGACTCAAATATGTATCGAAAACAACTGTTAAAATTATTCTACGACTTAAAGGTATTCCAAAATTTTGCTAAAATATAATACATTTTTCTGTGAAAAAATGTGTATTACGTGTTGCGTTTTGTCATATTATTGTTTCTGATATTTGACAATATTTAAATCAATTATATTACATTTATCTATGATTTAAATGGCCAAAATTTTGTGATTTATTGTTAAAAAAAAATTAAGTTGATTAAAAAATGTACTCAGTTGAGGAGAAAAAAGCAATAATAAAAATTTTTTATTCATGTTTTATTATAACACTTGTTATAGTTTTATGTTTATAAATTATCATATATTATTATTAGAAATAAAGATCACAGTAACAGTATATTGGAATTCATTGAATTGTTGTATAACTTAACATGGAATTAAATTTTAGTGAATTAGAATATCTTACGTTAAATAAAGATCCGGTAGTGGCAGGAAAAGGTTCGCGCTATTGCCTGAGTACAACATTATGCGATTTTTCGTCAACTGAGTACATTTATATTGATCGATTTGTAAACAATATAATTTATTGTTCACAAAGTAATAATGTTCATTAGTAGTAGTATTTAGTAAAACTCATTGTTTATAATTTATTCATAAAATAAAAAAATTGACAATTCAAATTGTCAAACATCTGACATAAATATGATAAAACACAAACGTAATAATATATATTCTTGCATTACGTGTGGCCTAACTTTTAGGGGTGGCCTGAAAAATGTATTATATTTTAGCAAAATTTTGGAATACGTTTAAGTCGTAGAATAATTTTAACAGTTGTTTTCGATACATATTTGAGTCCTCTACAAATAGTTTCCCATGACTTTTGGTGTAAAATAATTAGGGAAGCAGGAATTCAACAATTTAGAATTTACCATTGAGTTTCCTATGGTCCGTTTGACGATTCACCACCCGGTATATTTAAAAGTTAATATAGAAGGGATTGTGCCTTTAATACATTGTCTAATAAAAACAGTTAAATAAAAGCATGGCAATCCAATATATTGATTCTTTGTATTGGATCCAATAACTAAAAATACCTGGTGTTCCATCTAAAATAATAAAGTTGGCATCAGTATTTACATCAGATCACACTTTGTATAACCCATTTTTATTGGAAACATATGCGCAACAAAAAATAGAGCTTTTCGAGGAATTATTCATCATTTAATAAATAGATATATTATAAACCTCATTGATACATTCAGAAATGAATACAAATGAACTGCGCAAGTCTGCACAGAATAGTGAGTCAGGCTCTAGACACTAGTCTGCAACTCTTATTGGGTTGGTTGACATATCTATTGTTGTGTCAGTCTTTTGGAATCATAGCACAGAATAATAAACAATTGTTTATTATTCTGTGGTCATAGGTATTTCATTTTCATTATTTATAATTATATAATTTCATTTCCCATTTGCTCTCCTGAGACGACTCCCGAGTGATTTATACGCTGGAAAGGCAGCGTCATTTTGGTTTAATGTTTTGAATAATGTCTTTAAAAGTTCAATAAAGTATTAATCCATCCATCGTTTTATGAATTCTGATTCTACTAATCCAAAAATGGGAATTGTTTCAATAGCTTTAAAAAATGATTCAGTAATTCAAATTTTAATAAAAAATCAATTTTCTCTTAACTACAAGAAATGATTTTTTTTAGAAATCAATAAATATCACTGGTATAAACACCCTAAAATATCAGATTTCAGTGAAGCTTCTGGAAACCACTTTTATAAACTTACAACAGACGCAATACAAAAGGGGTTTTTTTTGAAAAAGGTAAAAAAAGTGGTTTCTGAAAGATTCACTGAAATTTGTTTTTTCAGGGTGTTTTTATCGATTACTGAAAATAACTCACTAGTTTTTCGTCTGGTTAAGAAAATTGATTTTTTTTTAACTTGAAGGACTGAATAAAATTTTCACAGCTCTTGAAAAAATTCCCATTTTTGACGATTTCGAAAGTATTTTTTTTTACCTGAAACAGCCGAATTCCTGTAAACTTTGCACTACCGGATTGAAAATTTTCTTGGCAATCGATTGGGACCCATCACAATTCTTACAGTTTGGTTGGAAAATAAAATGTTTCGAATGGCTGCATTTTCAAGTTTCCCCTGCGGTAGACATTGACCTTTTTACAGCTCTCATGACATTTTTAGGAAAATTTGTTGGAAATTTTTAGGAGGTTTAGGAAAAGGATCACTAAAGGGCATGCTGTTGTTTTAAAAATTTCCATTTCGGCAAAAAATATTCTAAATTTAAAATTTTTTTCCAGTCATTGGGTGTGTCACCCGACTGATAAATTTCATTAAAAAGCTTTAAGAGGACATCCATGTACTAGTTTTCTATTATTTTAAGGATATCAATTGGCAGTTGATCTGGCCCCGGTCTTTTCCGTTTCGGGTGTTCTTTAGTGCATACAATATTTCTTCCTTTGTAATTTCTATACTTGTTTCTCCGTCTTTGAAAGATATGTCTTATAGGCTTCATTTTTCGTTGTCGAAGGGCTCTTCTATATATTCTTTCGTTATTATCATAGTATTTCCATTTTTATCTAAAAGAGTTATATTGTGGTTTCTTTTTTGCAGCCCTGCCATTTCTTTAACCTTTTTATGTAGGTTGAATAGGTCGTATTTGTTCTGAAGATCTTCTATCTCTTTACATTTTTCCTCATAGTAAGTTTGTTTTGCCTCTTATCATTTTTCTGATTTCATTTTTAATGATTTTGTAATTGTGACTGTGTTCGTTATTGTCTTCTTTCGTCAGTCTTCCAGTTGTCCCTCTTATCGGTTCTTTTAATAACTCTTTGCATGGAACGAGGAGGCAGTTTTTTAACGTTTCCCAGGGGACATGACATTCCACTTAATGTATAAAAAAAAGAAGCATTTTCCCGTTTTGACGAGACAGTCACAGCTCCCCTGCACTCTTTGAAAAACCTTCTCTTACACCTATTGAACATCAAAAACAATGGCTATCAGCTTACCGGCCGATCTAGCGGCCCTGGAGCTTTTTTATACTGCTTTGATGGGCAGGCGCATAGAACAGAACTTATGTTTTATCAAAGTCGAGTATCGGTGGAAACTTTTCAATTATGAGGTGATTGCTCACGTCTGTTTTTATAGGGTAAAAAATAAAAAAAAAAACACTTTAAGAAATCCGGTTTTATTGAATGGACTGAAAACGTATACATAATAAAAAAGACTTTAAAAGTGTATGAGCAAACTAAGGAAAATATAAGATTCTGATGTATTCCATATAGTTACTCTTAATTTGGTGTTTTTAAATTTAAACTGTTATTTGAATCGTTAAGAAAAGTCATCGTTACAGTCGTATCTTTTTGAATAAACACTTTGGTCCTGTTGCGTAAATCGTAAACAAACACACAGAACTTATGCTTAAAAAAGTAAAAGAATCATCAATAACTTTTGTGTTTTTAAGAAAGCCCTTTACCTACACACAAACTTTATTGCCGCTATCGCAGATCGAGTCGCTTTATACTACATGTTCTACATCAAAGTCTCAGCAACGAAGATGAACGAAACTTAGACACAGACCGATGAACTAACTCGAAAATAAATATTTGTGTGAAACAAGTAATAAATTAGATTAAGGGATTTGAGCTATTTTCGTGATATCACTTAGATAACGAATATTA